TCTCCTTCTCGCTTGAGCTGTGACGTAGCTGCTTAGCACGCGCCGGCGCCGGCTATGCCACGATGCCATGCATTTCGGGTATCGCTCCTCGCGTCTCGCCGAATGCCGAGTCTCGCGTTGGCAAATCGACGATGCGCTATACGTTACATTTACGTTTATATTTAAAAATTTTAATTTTTATATTTATAAATAAATAAATAAATATATATATATTTAAAATTTATAAATATAAAGATTGCAATTATAATTAATTAAAAAAATATTTATAAACATAAAAACTAAAATTCGTAAATGTAATGTATAGAAATCCCCGTTCTGGCAAATTTGCTCTTATATAAAAAAACGTTTTACATTAAAAACCTTTACTTTAGCATAATAGTATTTAAATTTAATATTGAAATGCATAACAATAATTACATATTAACTATATCGAGAAAAAAAGTAGTTCATAATGTTCTTTTTACTCTTATTAAATTTATATTAGCTATTAATGTTTATAAGCGGCGACGAGCAACAACAGAGAGATATTGAATTAAAATAAAAACAATTTCTTAAATAAACAAATACACATGCTTAACGTTTCGACTGTATTTAGTCTTCTTCGGAACGGATTACTACGATAGAAGAAGATAAATATAAAAAAACATGATAATTAATGTTCAAGTTTACATACTAAAACATTAAAAAAAACATTAGTCTAGACTAAAACATTAAACAATTATCTAATAATATAAACAAAGTAAACAATAATCTAATTAAATCACAAATATAAAAACGCCGGAATAAACGAATAAAACCATAACAAGATAAATTTATATTTATATTGAGAAGTGGTAAAATCTCTTCTGTCAGGAAGAGAATGTAAAGAATTATTAACGGAGGTATTCTGATTTAAAAGATCTTTAAAATATATATTTTTCAGGAACTTTTTATAGGGAAACGAAGAAAGTGAATAACGATAAACTTTGCATGTTCTCTTCACCTTATTTTAAAAATTTATTTTTATTTTTTAAGTAACAAAAATGCTCTTCTTTTCTGTTATATCCTGGTCACCATAAATGACAGACGGTGTAAATAATTCTAGCTGTTCTAGGTATCTGAAACGCAAAAAGCTAAAATTTTCTTATTCAGAAGAAGTATATGATCAGATTCAGATCTTTTTGAATTCATAAAGATCAGCTGTGCTATCTGGGTAGGTATCAGAAACGTAAAAACCAAAAATTTTCTTATTCAGAATAAGTGATATGGGCTATCGTCTGAACTAGAATAAACATTTTTTTTAAATAAAATACTAATAAAATTTTGAAAAAAATTAATATTTTAAATAAAAAAGCCGCTCAGAATGGAAATATTGATTTAGTTCTAGTTCAGACGATAGCCACACTTCTCCTGCAGAATAAGAAAATTTTAGCTTTTTGCGTTTCAGATACCTAAAACAGCTAGAATTATTTACATCGTCTGTCATTTATAGTGACCAGGATATAACAGAAAAAAGAGCATTTTTGTTACTTAAAAAATAAAAATAAATTTTTAAAATAAAGTGAAAAAAACATGCAAAGTTTAACGTTATTCACTTTCTTCGTTTCTCTATAAAACATTCCTGAAAAATATATATTTTAATGATCTTTTAAATTAAAATATCTCCGTTAATAATTCCTTATACATTCTCTTCCTAACGTGTGTGTGAAACTATCGTCTCATTTTGCAGAAACTCACAAATTATTCAGTTCTGGCTTCTTTCAAAAAACGCGTCAGTAAAAACTGAGACGCTATGTTCACGCAGCGTCTCATTTTGTCCTACACAAGTTCCACCACTGTATCTCATCAGATTTTGCAAGATCTATCTATAACAGTTCTATAAAGAGTTTATCTCATCAAATTTTGCAAAATCTATAGTTCTATAACAGTTCTATAAAGAGTTCTGCCATATAAAAGAAAAAAAATTAATTATAAGGTACTAAAAAAAAATTACAATGCAACGAGTATACCGGTTGAGACGCCAGTTGAAATCTCGGAGTTCCGGTTTATGTAAAATATTTTTCGAGTAGTTTTGAGCATATTGAAACATTTTCTAAAGAGTTCCGAGCGTTAGAGTCTTTGTGTTATATTTAAAAAAATTAATATTAACCGAAAAGTAATCATGACAGAAGATGAGACGCTGTGCGAAATCTCGGAGTTTTGGCTTATATAAAATATTTTTCGTATAGTTTTGAGCATACTAAAGCATTTTCTAAAGAGTTCCCGCCACTAGCTACGTTGTATATATATGTTTATTAACTTTAGCAAACACTAGCTACGTTGTACAATTCTTAAATAAATTAATACCGCTCGAAAATCAGGAATTTATCGAAAATAAGGTGAGAAGCTGGCCGTATTTCGGCAGTTCTGTGAGTTCTGCTATAATTCTCGTGTAATTCTGAACGTGTTCTAACGTTGTCCCATTTTATTCTGGCAATAAGCATTATTTATTCATTTTTTAAATAATTCTTATCGCTCGAGAAAGACCCTATTCTCAATAAATTCCTTACTTTCGTGCGTTATTAATTTATTTAAAAATTATACAACATTGCCAATGCCCGGAACTCTTTAGAAATTGTTTTAGTATGCTTAGAACAGTACGAAAAATATTTTATATAAGCCAAAACTCCGAGATTTTCTACAGCATCTCACCCACATACCCGTAAATGCGTCTTTCTTGGTCGATAAAAATTATTTAAAATATGAATAAATAATGCTTATCGTCAGAACTCTTTAGAAATAAACGTTAGAACACGTTCAGAACTATACGAGAATTATAATAGAACTCACTGTTACCCATGTGTATTGTTTATTTAAGAAAGTGTTTTTGTTTTTATCCAATTATCCTTCTGTTGTCGCTCGTAATTTGGCCGCTTGAACATGCATAGGTAAAATAAATTTAATAAGAGTGCAAGAAACATTATAAACTACCATTTTTTTCTCAATATAGTTAATAATATAATTATTGGTATGCATTTAAATATTAAATTTAAAATTTATTATGCAAAGTAAAGGTTTTTAATGTAAGACTTTTTTAGATAGAAAAGCATAGAACGGTGATTTCTATACATTACATTTACGAATTTTAGTTTTTATGTTTATAAATATTTATTTAATTAATTATATTTGCAATCTTTATATGTATATTTATAAATTTCAAATATATATACATATGTATATATATATATATTTATTTAATTATAAATATAAAAATTAAAATTTGTATACAAGCAAATGTAACGTATAGCGGGTATAGCGTATCGTCGATTTGTCAACTCGAGACTCGGCACTCGGCGAGAGACACGAGACGCGATACCCGAAATGCGTGACATCGTAGTATAGCCGGCCTGTGCAAAGCGACAACGTCACAGCTCAAGAGAGACAGCAGATGTCTGCCCTTCTCTCCCCGCTCGAAGCTTGCCGAGGGCCTAGGCTAGCGTATGTACACGGACAGAGGAAAGGCTTGCGCGACCAGCATATCCCCTCCATCTGAGTAGTTCGGACACGAACCATAGCATGGATACAAACCCATGTATCGTTACCCGAGTCCTCTCTGATCGTTACCGAGCGTAACGCCGTAGTTGACGTCCACTTTCTCAGAGGGCAGATTAGGACAGACGTCCCCCAAAGCCGGATGGCCGCTCTCAGGTTTCTCTCTGCGGCGACCATGATTACATGGTATCGGCGACCATGGTTACACGTTGTCGGCGACCATCTTACACGACGTAGGCTACCACGTTACACGACGTAGGCGGCTACGATATACGATGTCGGCGACTCCGATATATGATGTCGCCTACATCTCGACATGAGTGAAAACGCACTGAGTCTACGTTCTCGATGCTGTACCTTTTCGATGGCAGGCATTGCATCTTGCACGTTGCACGGCACCTGCTGACGCGAGTAAACAAACTTGACGATGCGCTTCAAGCCGGTTTGTGCGATTTCTCGTGAAAAACGCGAGCCAGACTTGGTCCTGTCGGTTTTGATCAATCGTCAATTGTGATTCATCGTTTCGGACGTGGAGCGGACGGTTCCTTCCACTCGGGGTGACTGGTGAGGTCGGTGAGGATGAGCGTGCGGCAGTACATCCATCCGAGGAACAAGTATAAACGACCGCCGGATTACAAGCAGCTCGCGGTCATGTATCCGGAGTTCCGCGAAATCGCGATAATGGTATTATATTCTCTACAATTTATAAATTGCAATACAATGTAATAATGTATGTAATAAATTACATTTGTAACGCGAAAGAAACTTAATTTAATATAATTGTATTAATATCATGTTTTATTGGAATATATAACATAAATATATTAAATATGTAACGTAATGCAAGTATAATATAATAATATGCGTTTCAGATCTAGGAAAGTAAGGGAAAAATCAGTAAAGCATAGACAAATAGATTGTAGAAAATGTTTACGCATACTTACGTCATGTATTTTCCTCTTTTGTAAGTGTAACGCACTTAAATGAGACGTGAAATGAACAGAATGCTTTTTGCCCATGTTGATTACCTAGGACTTTGTGGGAAAGGTTAGGATCGACTTCAAAGAGAGGAAGAGCCTGCACGTGCTTACGGAGACACTTTTGAAGCATGATTTTGATCTACATGTGAACATCCCGGCGGATAATCTGAATCCGGCGATTCCCCTGCGCTTGAATTATATTCTGTGGATGGAAGATTTGATGACTCATTCTAAATTAGAGATGGACAAAGTCACGGGCATCGACATCGGTGATTAGAAACTGCTTTTGGAAATGCTTTCCCAAAGTGTCGATAGAACTTCTAAATTTAGAAAATTTAGAAATAGAAAAAATGAAATTATTGCAATCATATTATGATTTTAAAGTAATGAATGTTACAATGTTAATCATAACTGCAATGGTAAAGATAACTTTAATTAAATGATATAATATTATATGATTTGATTCATTCATTTTGTGATGTACATGTATGCTTAATATAACATTTTAGATTGCTATTTGAGATCTCTGAACAATTTTGTTTCAAATAGGAACAGGAGCAGTTTGTATATACGCTCTGTTGCTGGCAAAAATCTACAAATGTCAAGTGATTGGTACCGAAGTGAATGAGAGAAGCATGGAGCATGCCCAGAAATGCGTAAGGAGGAACGAATTGCAAGATTTAATTGAAAGTAGGTCCTATTAAACACTCTTTTTCTTGAAGCGAAAGAAAAGCTAAAAGCTGATAGATACCTTTAGAATCAAAACTTAATTCTTCATGTAATGGGATGTTCTGATGTAGTAATTACAGTGAACTCCGATAAAATTTTTAAGGACGTGGTACAGACCGATAGAGTTTACGATTTCTCAATGTGCAATCCGCCGTTTTTCGAGAGCGAGGACAACGGCTTCGAAAAAATCGTGAAGGTTCTGCCACCGAGAAATGCGTCTACCGGAAATGATGGCGAGCTGAAGATCGAGGGTGGCGAAGTGGGCTTTGTGACGAAGATGATCGAAGAGAGTGTTGAAGTGGGAGATCGAATAAAGATCTACAGCACAATGATCGGTAGGAAAGCCGATCTGGTCAGTTTAAGACGATTGCTAAGATCAAAAGATATAAAGAATATGACGTGGACGGAATTCTGCCAAGGGCACACAACACGGTAAATAAACGTATTAAATTAATAAATCATTAATAATTTTTTTAAATACAACATCTATATTAACGCAGATTGATATTAGTTTATTAACTACTTAGTTATATTATATCACTAATTATTTATCACTTTGGAGTTTATTAAAGCTGTATAGTATATTTGTCGACAGATGGGGTTTGGCTTGGAGCTTCCTACCGCAAAGTATTGTGAATCTCACTACAGCACCTGTCATCAGAAAACGCGGAAAGTCCATAGTGCAATCGTTGAGAAATTATAAAACTTCGATAACGTTTCCCGTGGAGGATAAATTTTCTTGCGTAGATGATATAATAAGCTTCTTGAGATCAACGGCGGAAGAGTTAAACGTAACGCATCACTTTCCTTATTTCTAACGTTAAGTTTGTGGATTATCGTGACGTTAAGTAATTGAGAGTTAATTTTGAAAAATTTCGCAAACTTAATTTTATTACTGCAACAGGTCAAATTGCAAGATTTACCCGTTCCTGAGGACAGTTTCGACGGCTGGGCGTGTCAAGTAACTGCAAGAGAAAGATCATGGGAGCATACGCGCAGAAAGCGGCGTTTAGCGCAACAGATTGTATTAAAACGAGCGAAAGGTGAAGATGGCGAGTGTATTGAAGCGAATACGTGCGCTGAAGAAACTTCGAAAACTGAGAACGTCACGACGGTCACGACGAATCCGCACGAAGAAAATTCTGATAAAGAAATACCTGACAAAGACGTCCCTCTGCTTGTTTGTAAGCTCTGGGTAGAGGCTGAAAGCCTTGATGATTCTCAGGATGTAATTACACAATCTGACGAGATACTCAGGATGTGGATGGTGTTCGAAAATGGGTATGGCGGTTTGGACGCGTTACATTCGCTGCGACAGTACCTGATAAACAAACTGGGAGTGAGGGAGAAGATTCTAGATAATCCGTCAAAATTTAAGAGAAAGAAAAAGAAGACAAAAGAGTCGCTGCTCTAGTCGTAATCAGGCGGTAGAAAGGATTCAGCGTACAATAAATAGGTTGCAGAAAATTCTGAAGGTTCTTAAATTAGATCGCCATGTTACATATAAAACAATTTATTCCATGCAACATGTTGAAGAAAATCTGTAAGGATAGTAATGTATGTCTACAGGATCATAGTATATGTAAACCAAGTTTGTAACGTTCTTTTTATTTTATGATATATGTGAAGTTTTGTAATTTTATTTATATAATTTCCCCCCCCCCCCCATAATGATTATTATTTCTCTCTTTATAATACAATTTATCTGAGTGCAATGCGGTAATTTGTTATTACGATTATTATTGCAATGCGAAAATGAGCCCGTCGAGAGAGACGGCGGGCAGAGGTCGACTATATCGATCGGTCGATTAATTGGTTTTTTTTTCTATCACTGCAGAAAAATTGCTGGTGCTTTCTTCAGGCCTGAAAACTCGTAAAATCTACGAGGGCTATAACGGGAATAATCAACATTATTTTCTGCAATAATAAAAAACTTCGCGACACGATTACTATCCGACTATCGGTGTCGCGGTCACTGCTTTTCGGCCGAACCGCGGCGAGAGATTTCGGATCGGGCTACGGATAGATCCGTGGAGCGGGTAAAACAAATTATAATTAATATTAACAGCGGGATAACAATCGATTCTTTTACTTACGGTCCTAAGACTATAATCGCACAACTTGAACTCAGCTACGACATACAATGACTCGATTAACATTTGGCCATTGCGTCCTTAATTACAAACATGATCGGTTAACAATACCATTCGCTACTTTATACTATTATCATCGTCATTCTCGATACCGCATTAGAGATGCCTAGGATATCTTTATATTAAGCAGGCGTCTGTTAATAAGAAAAAGAATATCCATAAAAATAAGAGGAAGCACTTTCTCGCGAATTGCTGTAATAGAAGATGAAATAAGACGAATTATACTCGTATGGATGAACTGTAAATATCGTAATACTTTCTTCTTTTTCTTAGCGGTGGCAATTAGGATGGAGTGACGACAATATGCCTGAACGGCACAATATGATAATGTCACAAAAAGGAAAAAAAAATGAAACATTATTGAGTAAATTCGTATAAATGGGTGCATGCGCTAATGTATATTAATGCAGATTAAAGCATGTGTACACACATCTATGTTGCGCACAACATATATATGATGAAATATTCAATATATATTTTAATAAATTGCAAAATTGCAACATGCAAAATCATACTCAAGTCTCGTAAATTCACCTGCTTATGCATGCGTTTTGTGTAATACGACAGCCTTTAATAAGCACTAATACATTCAAGAGTGTGTCGAAAGGGTTGCGAATTCGCTTTACAAAATAATAGAGAAAAGGAATTAATTTCGAGAGTCTGATACGAATTTAGTCAAGTTTGAACGTTACTTAATTTGATGAAATTAACAACCAGCACCGTCGATGTATTTGTATCACCGGCATTTTGCATGGTAAACAATTTAAGCCTTAAAAAATTGCGTGATCGCGTGCGTGCAAGTGAAGAAATGGTATTGCTTTTTTTGATTTCACGCAATGGCGAAAAGGGAACAATCTCTTTTACCTTAATTAACTTGAAGATATAATCTTCACTTAAAATTGCTCTCTTTAAGCAACATGGCACCTGTGTCTTTATACACATTTGATATAAATGTGCATCTTGCATGCAAATTCAACCTCGACGGATACATTCCTCCCTTTACCTTCACAAACACACTACCAACGACGGTAATCTTGTGTCTCGTCTCTTTTTTTGAGTCTCGTATCTTAATTGCGTTTAAATGGTATAACAAAAACGGTGCAAGTATCAAGTATATATATATATATATATATATATATATATATATATATATATATTATATATCGTACACAACGATCCTCGCGCGAAATCGTCATTTTTCACGACGAAGGACTAGGGCTTAGAAAAAAGAAAGGAAAGACTACTAATGTTCGTCGTCGGCAAACGAAAGACTCAGCTCTTCGTCGCCACGCCTGACTCTAAGGCGCCAATTTTGCTAGCTTCCAAGTCTTTTGTTGTCTTCTGCTCGACCTTCTCGACTTTTTCCGTTGCTTTTTTTATTTCTTTATCGTTCTTCTTGGAATTCTTTTCGGTGATTGCCAGGACGGCTTCGCCGTCATCCGGCGACTGTTCCTTTTGCCGCTTTTCGATCTCTGCCTTGAAGTTATCGATATCCTGCTGGCTAATTTGCACGAAAAGTATGCCATTGATAACGTTGAGCATGTCCAGCACAGAGCCCATGCTAGGCGGCTGCACCTGAATCGGTGGCAGGCTTACGCCTGACTTGCCCGTGTAAATCTCATTCATTTTCTTTTGTAGCACGACCGCTTGCTGGGTCAGGTGGCGTAAGCAATCGCTACTCTCCTTCGTTTTCTCGTGTTCCTCGCCCAGCTGCTGCTTATAAATCGCGTAGGTCTCCTTCTCGTTGTTCAGCGCCGCTCGAAAGTCACCCATGCATGACTGCGTGCGTGCTACTAAGTGATACGATACCGCAACCTTCAACGAATGAGGACCGTGATAACGTAGATTCAAGGCTAACGCGTGTTCCAGGAAACGCAACGACAACTCGTACTCGCCGACCGCGTGCAGAATCAGCGAGATGTTACTCTGCAAAAATCAAATATGATATTATTATTGTAATTCAAATGTTAACTTTTTGGGAAATTTATGATGCCTTAAAAAATATATAAAACTATTTTATAATTATATTATAAAAAAATTATATATATATACAAAATATAAAAATAACCCGTACTTTGTAATTTTTATACGAGGAATTTCTGATTAGACTTACGTCGAGTAAAGCCACTTCCGGGTGATCTTCACCGCAGACTAATAATGCTAGATAACGTGCTCTGTACAGTAATCTTAATGATACGGATACTTGCCCGTTGGCAAAAGAATATAAGGCGAGATGTATCTGCAAACAAAAAACAATACATTATTCATTATTACACTGTAAAGAATATTACATAATTTATATTGTCCTTTGTATATTTTCTGTATATATCAGTAATATAATTCACACAGTGTATAGGTCTATGATGCGTAGAATTATTTTTTTTACTTTGCACTGTTATCATTTTAACAACTCTTATTTATTTTAGGAGGATTGTGATATAACTTACATATTCTGTTATGGTGTATGGATGATCAATACCATTAACCCTCTCCGACATGAGCACAGCCTTCTGCTGAGTGGCGAGTGCCTCCGCATGGTCACCCATTATGTAGTTCAATCTTGCTAACATTCTTAGACACTGGGCAATTTCGGGATGCATAGCACCATAGACATTATTCAGAAGATTCAGCGCTTCGCTGATTAGTTCATATCCGTCCTTTAAATATCCTTGTTGGATCTTGCTTTGGCCGGTGGTGTAAAAGTTATATGCGTCGCTAGCCTAAAGAAGTTAAGTTGAAATTACTTGGCTTTTTATTGTCACACGCAATTTTACCTTAAACGAAAATTATTCGTTAGATTTTTATAAATTTAAGAATTTTTTAAATTCCTTAAATATTAATTTGAGTAAAAAATGTACTCTTTTAAGATTTAAAATTTATAGTTTTCCTTAATTTAATGAATTATTGCTTCACAAATTTACTTTTAAATTTTTGATTAGCTATCAGTTAATTAATCTTGTTTGTATGCATTTAAGATCGACTACTTACTCTAGGATTGATATGTTTGACGACGGGGAAGATGTTCAATATGTCTTCTTCGAAGAACGTCGCACGGTTCTTGTTTTCGAAGTTGTATTCGCGTAGTAGTATCTGAATACCGGTCTTGACGCAGAAGCCGCGCAACAGTGAAATTTTTTGTAAATGGAAGTGTTCTATCGTGGCTTCCACAGATTCCGGGCTTGGTGTTTCCCAGTCATAATAAGCCTTTAAGTCACCCTTAATTTGCTGCCATAATGATTTAGGCGTCAACGATGCCCACTCTACTTCCGACTGCAGTGGCCCGTTGTTCCTCCCCTTGCGTTTATTGCGGCGTTTGGCAGTTTTGCTCTGAAGCTGAAATAAAAAATTGTTTAAATTTAGCTACTGAAATTTAATTACACGAAGTATAATCTTTTTAGTAACTATTTGTTGTTCTTCACTGTTTTTATTATTGACTTGCAATTAACAAAATCTCAATCCTCTTAATCGTTACTTAACTTGACCGTTAATTAATTAATTAATAATTATGCATGAATTATAAATGTGCTACAATTAATCGTACCTCTTCTAGATTTTGTTGCGGGTGTATAATCTGTGCCGACGACAGCAAGCAATTCAGAAAGTGGCTGACGGCCGCGGATAGACTCATCAGTTCCGTACCCTATAAAATGACACATTTACACAATTGTCTCTTGCATATTTATTAAACATGCATAATTTTATCTTGCACAACTAAATATTGTACCTGCATGTAAGAGGTAAAAATGTGTTTGGCCGATCGGAGGATCAGCTCAGATACAGCAATGCGGTTGAGATACTGCAACTGTGGTACCGCTGCTAACATAGCCGCCAATTTACCGAGATAGCGAATATTAATGCCTCTACCATGGAGAGCCTCCACTAACGTGCTACCGTCCATCGCGGCCGCTGTATGATCCAGACACTCTCGAATCTGGAACAAAGATTTTTTTGAGAAAAAAAAATACAATTGTAAGTACATTCAGAAACAATCCACATTTTGCATCTAACTGCAGAAATACTAAAAACTTGTGCTGCTAAATTTTACGACGAACTTACAAATGTCGGCAGTTGCACAGTGAGCAAGAAGTCCGCGGCGTCCTTCACCAACTGCTTCTGCTTCTTCAGATCGGGACCATTAGGATCTGGATGCTTGACGCCGGGCGAGAACACGTCCGGATTGAATCTCACGTCGAACTCGGCTTCTCGCAGACTACCCACCGCCGTCGCCGCTCTTCGTACTATCTCTCTCGTGCTTTCCTCCACTATCGCCCAGAAATAAACCTTGTTACAAAACTAGTTCTCTCTCGGCCTTATAACAATATATTTCTTTATAATTTATTCTGTTCAATTCTTTCTTCTTTTTTCCTAACAATTTTCCTCTCTCAATGTTAATCAAATCCTGATAATTCTAATAAATTCTGATAATTGGTAAAATTTTGAAGGCTATTTCTTCACATATATGATCCTATATGGTCAATGGATGCATGAAAAGATAACAC